AGTGTGAAGAGTAAGTTCAGTTATAAGAGAAAGGGTAATCATCAACCTTTTCTATTTTCTCAATTTGCTTCCGAAGAGAAATTTTATCTTCCCCAAAGGATAAATTACTTAGTACAATTTCTTCTACTAAAGGTTCTTGGGAGTCAGAAATTTCTTTACCTTTAGAAATAGGGGTTCTAGAAGAAGAACCTTTAACACTTGAACTTGGGGGAGAAGAAACAGATACAGACGAACCACCACGGATGGATCCAGAACTACGAAGTCTACCGTCGCCGCCTCTTCTATGCCTGACAACTGAAGCAGGGGCATTGGGAAATTGATCAAGAAGTTGAACTTTTCTAGGGTTAGGGTTTGAAGATGCCATTGTTGTATGAAAACAAATTCAAGAGAAGTAAAAGGAAATAAGGGAACACTTGATGAAAGTTTATGAAGAAGGTGATGAAGAAAGGAAGAATTAAAAGAGTATATAGAAGCAACCGTCAAACTAAGAAGAGTAATGATAGAAAGCCTATATTAAAGGCAACTATCACTTCGTGAAAAGAGGTGTTGAATAAGCATGGAAAGAAGGAAACAAAATTGCAGATCCAATCGGAAGACGAGACGTGTGTGGAGCATTAAATGAGAAAGACAACGTAGGCGTCAGTATTGTCATAAACACTAATTATGGCAAAAAATCCCTTTTTGAGAAGATCCACTTCCCAATTATTTAATGGATAAATAAAAAAAAAGTGGGGGGACTATCTGTATTGGGAAAAAACTGAATTAATATTAATAGTGACATGGCATGACATATGGTCTAGTCAAAGAGTCAACACGCAATAATCAGCCAAGAGACACAAGTAGTAATAGGTACGAGAAGGAGATTTCAAACAGGCACGGGCTACAATTCAAATATGTATCTCGTACCTATCCACAACATTGAAGACCAAAGATTTGTAAGGAATTAAGTATTATGAATCTGACAACAGATAATGGTCCAAATGCAGTATTAAATACCATATACGTTAGTAAATCGGTATTTAATAGCAATGATTATGTAACATCTCATTAAATGTCTGTAATTACTCTTATGAGCCGTTACTCTTGTTGATTATAAAAGGATGAGGTCTTACCATTTGTAAGGACACGAGATAACTGAGAATATATCAAAATATTACTTTCTTTTCTGCTTTATCACTACTTCTAAAAAGCTTTGTTATTCTTGTCTCCTGATTATCAGTAACCCAATATTTCATTCTACACTCAAGTTTTGGCCAAAGAACTATTTTTTGGTTAAACAACCTCCTTAGGAGTTTCATTTTTTTTTGTTTTATATACTTCATCACCCTATTGTTTTAAAAATGTTATAACTAGGTTCTCATTACATAATTTTTCAATTTTTTCTATGTACATATTGCGTGTGTATGAACAAAATCCCATATATAAGTAGAAAATAAAAAAGAACTACTTATAAGGAGTTGGATACTCTTAAGGGTGTGAGGCCTTTTGGGAAAAACCGTGCAGGCTTGGCCCAAAACGGACAATATCACACAATGTTAAGAGTATCATTGAATCGTTTTAGGCCAACAATTAGTATCGGAGACAATGGTTTGACGGGACTGTGGAAATGGCTGAGTATGGCGTGGTGTCCCGACTTAATACCTTTGTCCATATACGAGCTTTATGACATTTACCCGTAGCTTTGAAGATGCATGCACAGACTTTGGGCTTCAGTGAAATACTTAAGCTCACGTGGGTGATATACAGTTAATCTCCAATGTTGATGCAGTTGAAGACTGAATCTACGAAGAATCTAGGAGCTAAGCTCGAAAATAGAATAAGCTATGCCAGGACAACAACAAGAAAATAGCTTAGAGAATTTAGAAGAGAGAAGAGAATTATTATTATTATTATTCTGAATGGATATCAATACATGGATTACAACGTATATAAGGGAATGGATCGAATGCAAGTGGATCACTAAAATGAAATCTCTTCAACTAATCCTAAATGACTATGTAACTAACACCGACTCTACCTAACTAATCTTGCCACATCAGCTTTACTCGTAACTAACTTCTGCCACGTCAACTGCCAACTCAGATCTCCTCTATATTTTGCAACAATACCCCATGCAAAAGAACACCTTGTCCTCAAGGGTGAAAGATAGTAAATCTGTGTTGCAAATCAGAAAGGTATTCCCAAGTGGCCAGAGCAGCTTCAATGCTAGTACACTTAATAAGAACTTGACATACAACCTTATTCCCTCGCTTAACCAATCTTTTATCAAGAACAACTTCAAGCAAAGGATAGTAGATGTTTGACAGATGCAGAACATGAGGATGATTAATAATCTTTAGGACTTCTAAGCATCATTTAAGTTGAGAGATATGGAAGGTGGGATGAATCAAGGCATCAACTAACAGTAACAGGTGATAAGCAATTGCTCCCACCTTAGCTTCAATAGAATAAGGACCAAAATACTTTGGAGCTAGCTTATTGAAGGGTTGTTGGCTATAGAAACCTATCTGTAAAGTTGCAGCTTTAAATGTACCCACTCACCAACCTCAAAGTGTCTATCAGTTCTGTGTTTTGTTGGCCAAGTCTTTCATCTTCTTTTGAGCTCTTGACAAATGCCATTTCAAAAGTTACAGAATAGCTTCTCTAGCTGCTAAGGACCTATCTACCATTTCAGTATTAGTTTCACCAGCTAAGTAGGGAAGATGTACAGGTGATTTCTGACCAGAGAGAACTTCATAAGGATGCATTTAATAGAGGATGGTAGGTAGTATTGTACCACTGTAGACATCGAAATTTTAAAGGATCAAATTAAATCCTAAATTCAAGATACTAAAGAACTCTTAAAATCCTAGGAGTCTATAAGAGTTTCTTGAAGGTTACTCTACCCTAAACCCTAACTCACACCTATATAAAGGGATACATATTCCCTTGAAGAAGCATCTCAAAAAATGGAGATCATCTAGAAAAATCCATAAACTCAAGGGATATTCATAAAGAGATCAAGAAGTGGCCGAATATTTCTTGATAATCAAATAATTCAAGAAGATCCACAATATACTTTATGGATATCAAATAAATCTGTGAAAGGCTGCATCATCCTACATTCGAGAAATATGTTGCTCCAACCCTTGAATCACGAAGATAATTAGGAGAGAAGAATTAAAGGAACAAACAGAATTGTACCAGCATCATTTTATCAATAAAATTATGTTTCTTCATATTTATATTGGGGTTAAAATTTATTTTTGTATCACATATAATTTATTGTAAATAAATTGGCACGCCCAGTGAGACCAGTTCTCCCCGCCATCTCTTCCTCTTGTAAATCGAAACTCTAAGTTTCGAAATCGTTTGTTGAGATTGTCGAGTACTTCAAGTCTAGTTTTTAAGTTTCGGCAAGCCTACACCCCGACAAACCTTGAAGTACGGGGCATTTGTAGACATCGAAATTTCAAAGGATCAAGTTAAATCCTAAATTCAAGATACTATAGAACTCTTGAAATCTTAGGAGTCTATAAGAGTTTCTTGAAAGTTACTCTACCCTAAACCCTAACTCACACCTATATAAAGGGATACATATTCCCTTGAAGAAGCATCTCAAAAAATGTAGATCATCTCGAAAAACCCATAAACTCAAGAGATATTCACAAAGAGATCAAGAAGTGGCCGGATATTTCTTGATAATCAAATAATTTAAGAAGATCTACAACATACTTCATGAATATCAAATAAATTTGTGAAAAACTGCATCATCCTACATTCGAGAAATACGTTGCTCCAACCCTCGAATTACGGAGATAATTAGGAGAGAAGAATCAAGGGAACAAACAGAATTGTACCAGTATTATTTTATCAATAAAATTATGTTTCTTCATATTTATATTGTGGTTTCAATTTATTTTTGTATCATATATAATTTGTTGCAAACAACCACCATTCAACAAGAGACAAGTAAGAGGACCAATTCTTTGGGCTATTCGTACAAAAGCACCTTACGTAAGTTTTCAAAGTTCTGTTCAAGACCTCAGTTTGCCCATTAGTTTGGGGGTGATAGATTGTGGATCTTTGTAACTGAACTCCGTATAAAGAAAAGAGTTCTTGCCAAAAAGTGGTGAGAAAAACATGATCTCTATCATTGGTCATAGTGATAGGGAAACCATGCAGTTTAAAAATATTGTCAAGGAAGCACTGAGCTACCGATTGATCAGTGTAAGGGTGAGATAAACTCATGAATGCCAACATATAATTACTCGGTCGATCAACCACTACCAATATCACCTTATTTCTATTAGACTTGGGTAGGCCTTCAATAAAGTCAAGGCAAATATCACTTCATACACCATCTGAAATTGGTAATTGTTGTAGGAGACTAGGATATACAACTGTATCATAGTTATGTCGTTAGCAAACATCATATTTGTTGATGAATTCTCTAGTATTTGCAATGAGAGTCTTCTAATGGAACAGTGATTGCAGCCTTTTGATAGTTGCATCCATCACAGAATGTTCACCTTGGATGGTTGCATGCCACAATTCAATAATAGTTCTTCTCAACTGAGAATCATGCGCTACTGCCAATCTTTCCTTTTACCTTAACTGATTATTAAGCCAAGTAAATGACTTAAATGGTTGTTGTTCCAGCTTAGCAATCATCTCCTGCAAGTAAGGATCAATAGACCAAGTATCGTGTATCTGTGTAAATAATGAATCATTTGGCTTTATAATGGAAATAGCTAACAGTTCAGCCTCAGGTTTCCTAGATAAAGCATCAACAATCCTTTTTCTCAGTTCCATTCTTTTATTCAATAGAGAAATCAAAGGCCATAAGTTTAGAAATCTCAACCAGCTGAAAATCAGTATGAATGTTTTGGTCTAAATGGTACTTTAGAGCCTTCTGATCTGTCTTGACAATAAATCTCATGCCCAATAAATAATAAGATCATTTAGTAGCAACAAAGATGAGAGCTAAGTATTCCATGTAATACACTGATAGCCTGATGCTAAGGGGCCAAAGATCCACTAATGTAAGCTATAGGGTGACCTTGTTGCATCAAAACAGCTCCAATGCCCTTCCCACTAGCATCGGTCTCTACTGTAAATGATTTAGAATAATCAGGCATGGCCAAAAGAGGAGCAAAGACTAGAGCTTGTTTGAGTCTGTCAAAAGCTGCTATGAATTCTTTTGTCCATAAAAATCCATCCTTCTTCATCAATTCATGCAGAGGTTTGCAAATAGATCCAAACCCTTTTATGAACCTCATATAGTACCCATCTAGGCCAAGAAATCCTCTCAGCTGCTTGAGGTTATTAGGAATTGGCCACTGCTACTCATCTGTAATCTTCTTTGGATTAGTAGACACCCCTTCCTTACTGATAAAGCGACCTAAGTACTCAACCTTAGACACCTCGAAAGCACATTTAGAAATCTTGGCATATAGTTGATACCTCTTCATCAATTCAAACACAGCTTCAACATGTTGACGAGCAGTCATACTTTTGCTACAGATTAGGATACCATGAAAAAACACAAGCACCGATTTCCTTAATAATGGTTTGAAAACTGAATTCATTAAGCTTTGAAATGATGAGGGTGCATTAATTAGGTAAAAGGACATGACTAGAAATTCATAATGACTTTCATATTGAAAGTTGTCTTATGAGTATCTTCATTTGTCATTCTCAGCTGCTGATAACCAGCTCGTAAATCTATCTTAAAAAATACTTCTGCTCCTCCTAACTCATCAAGCAAATCCTCTATTATAAGAATAGGGAACTTATCTTTCGTTGTCAACTGATTAAGCTACCCATAATCTCCAACTTCCATCCTTTTTTCCGACCAAAATAAAGGAGATAGTAGAGTAGTCCCACACAAATAATATCCAAACTTTTTACCAATGGATAACTGTGGACTTTGGTCTGTCCTAGTAGCTAGGGGTGCCCTCACCCTTCATAAAAACACACACAATAAAGATTTCTAACTTTGCCTTTTCCTTTCATATGATCATTCATTATATAGTTTAAATCCCATTGTTCTTGTCAGCTCGTTTCATGGAAACTTACTGTCCTATTCCTGCAATTCCGAAGTTGTTTTTAAATGCAAAATTAAATCTTTGTATTTACCAATCTTATGAGTTCAATATTTTTACGTTTCTCAACTATCCTACCGTCTTTCCTCAACCTAAGTTTCATGTGGCCTACGACTAGGAGTGGCAAATGGGCGGATCGGGTTGAATATAGTTCGTGTCGAAAATGGGTAATAAAAAACAAATAAATTATACGACCAGATCCATATTTAATACGTATAGAAAACGGGTTAACCGGCGGATAATATGGGTAACCATATTATCCATGACTTCTTGAATATGATCACTTTTGGAAGAATTCCTAATCACCCAAACTTGAGGAACCCCCAATTTGAGACTTTACAAGTGTAAAAGTTAAACTCATTAGTTATTCATTTATTATCCATTGGTTATCTATTTTCTAAATGGATAATATGGTTTTTATCCATATTTGATCCATTTTTAAAAAATTCATTAACCCACCCATTTTTAGTGGATAATATGGGTGGTTAACTGTTTTCTGTTAACTATTTTGCCATCACTACCTATGACCACCAGTCCACCATCTACGAGTCTTTCCTCGAAATAGTTTTCATGATGTAGCTCATTTACCACGATTCATGAGTCAATTTTTAAATCCACCCGTCGAATTATTAACATACTTTGATACCAATTGTTGGATGTAACTAGCTAGCCCATAGATACTCTTAACATGGTGTAATCTTAGCCGCTTTAGTTAATCCCGCAAGATTTTTTTTCAAAAGGCCTCGACCCAGTATATTCCCACACCTAAATTATATATAGCTTCTCAATATTTTCAACTACTAATACGAGACTTTTGACCGGACATAAAATATCTTTTGTTTGCCCTTGCCTTTAACGAATTAGCTCCAAGTGGAGTGCATGAATTCCACCGGTAAAAATATATACTTTGGAAAAAAGATCAAAATTTATACGTCCACTTCTAACTATAATTTAACATTATCCTCTATTATACTTCAAATAAAATTTTCATTGGGATCAAGAATAAATACGAGACGATTTGCTTGTGTATGTGCATGAAAAATATTACCCATAGCAGAAGAGTACAATTTTTTAATCATCTTTTCATTTTCACTATTAGAATAAGGCTGTGTACGATAGATCCTTATGGTCCGACCCTTTTCCGAACTAACAGAAGCTTAGTGCACTTGGGTGCCTTTTTTTCTTCTCATTTTCACTAACTAATCTAAAGCGAATGATAAAGGAAACGGGATGAATTGAATCAATAAACTTGGATTACGTTGGATTGCCTAAGTATATGTTAAAGACTTGTACTTCAACTTGTCCACTTGCACATTCAGGACCCTCACAATATAGTAGGGTAGTCCTACGGAAAGTAATTATATCCCAATTTTTATACATTGACAATGTAAATTCTTTTTTTATACTAACAAATCATCAAAATCTAATTACATAAATTATGTAACAATAATCTATTAAAAAATAAAATTACTAACATAAAAATTAAGACGTGCAGGTTACCTACTGTAATACGTACGTTAAACATATTAAAAATATAATATTTTTCAAACTGCCGATGCATATACCTTAAATCTAAAGGAAAAATCCTTTTAATGTCAAATTTGATATGGCTCCACCTCTCAATTTACCAACCATAACTCAATGTTTTGTGAAATCAAGAAAAAAGGACCATTTTCAATCCCTATTCTATGAAAGCTGTGAGCTTAGACTAAATCTTTGTAGGGTTACCCTTACCCTACAAAGAAAACACACACACACACAAAGATTTATCTCGAACTTCACATCTTTTGTACATTTTTCATAATAGGAAAAACATTTCACTGATACTATGTCCCATAGTTTTTGTCAGCTCTCATTAAATTATATATTCATGGAATTTTATTGTCCTTCTACTGCAAATCCATAAGCTGTCATAAGAAAACAATAAAAAAGTATAAGTGTAAAACTAAAAAACTAAGTTATAGCCATATATTCTTGAAGAATATTAGGTTAAGATTGCATTTTACCCCACCTCCTTATGAGTTTCAACCTTTTTTCCTTTTATAATTGATCACCCTATTGTTTGCAAGATGCTACAACTAGGTTCTCATTACATAATTTTTCAATTTTTTTCTACGTACATTTTGCGTGTGAACAAAATTTCACATAAAAAGTAAAAAAAGAAAAACAAATTATTTATAAGGAGTTGAATACTTTAATGGCATGAGGTCTGTTGGGAAAAACCGTGTGGACTTGGACCAAGGCAGACATTATCACATCGTGTTAGATGTGTCATTGGGTTGTTTTAGCCCAACAACTGGTATCAGATCCAACGGTTTAATTGGACTATGGAGATGACGGAGTGTGCATGAGGGCCAGGCTTAATGCCAATTTGCATGTCTATGAGGTTTACGACCTTTACCCTTAGCTTTGAAAACGTATAGATAGTCTCTGGGCCTTGGACTATAAATACTCAAGCTCACATAGATAAAATACAATTAATCTCCAATTAAGCCCGTAAATGGTGATGGATCATGTGAAACTTAGTTTAAATAAGAGATTGTTGAGTGTGTATAAATAAAGTCCCACATGAAAAGTAAAAAAGAAAAAGAAATTACATATAAGAAGTTGAATACTCTTAATGGAATACAGAAAATTTTGCTATAATGCATTTTCCTCTTTAGTGGCGTTACGCGACATTAATCAGATAAGTGAGTTTTAAATAGCGAATACGTTACCGGAAAAAGAAGCTTTGTATCTACTTTCTCATTTTCATGATATTATTTTTACTATGGTTTTTATTTGTGGTATTGATATTGTCTCTTTTCGTCTTTTTGAGCCAAGGGTCTTTCGAAAATAGTCTCTCTACTCCCTCGGGGTAGGAGTAAGGTCTGCATACACACTGTCCTCCCCAAACCCCACTAGTAAAATTTTACTGGGTCGTTGTTATTGTTACCGGAAAAAGAAGTTCCGGTAGGATAGTACTACTTGTCAGATAAGGGAAATTCTAGAAGTACAAAAATCTAAAAACAAAAGAGTTAGAAGCTCCCTATCTTTTCTTGGATTCCATTTCAGAGACAACCTTAGCCCCATCAAAGTCGACCTAATCCTAGTTCTTAACATCCATCTTTGTTGTAGTCCTGTTGACTAATTTGTGGTTTCAATTCTTTTTCAAATTGGCTTCTGTATACTGCAATGTAGGAAATGATTTCTTTATAAGACATAATTTCTCAACAAATTAGTTCGAAATTATTTTTATATAAGAAAACAAGAAAGAAGAGTAATTGTGATTACCCTCAAAATCGAATAATAATTGAATTTGTAAGTGGTTTTAAGGATATACGGATTTAGTTGACACAAAGCGATAAATTAAGTTGTAACTGAAATAAACAATGATAAAGTAAATTCATACCACACGATTGAACAGTTACAGTCTTGGAAGGTCAATTACACTCAAACTAGATGCACTTCGATCGGTATCAAGATACAGAAGGATAAAAGCTTAAAGAGAGAAATAACAATGTCTTTCTTTGGGATGCGTGTTACCATGTGCTAAATGAATGATCAGACCCCCTTTATATAGTAGATGAGTCCTACTTTAGGTACAATTTTATAAAAGGTAAAAAAATCTCTTGATTTGCTAATTGACGGTTCCTTATTGATAAGTGCCGAGATTCCCGCCTTAATATCCGACCGGTCACGAATATTTCGGTCTTCTGTTGGCTATGCTAAAAATGTTGCTACGAGCTCGTTCGATGCTAGGATCGATTCTGGAATCACGACCTTGATATTCTCGAAGGCAGGTGTTCTGACCCTAGGTTCTAGCCTAGTGAGACTTGGGGTCAATCTTTAGTCCTTTATTGCCATGTTCCGAGCCTGACCTACCATGCCATAGGTGAGTTCGATTTCGACCGAATACAAAATGGTGCTTCGAGTTTATCTCCAGTCCCAAGTTAGGCTCGTTGAGTTTATCTCGGCATGGCCTTCTTTCACTACCGATCTCATAAGTTGTACAACTGCCCCTGAGTTGAACTCGTCGTCCTCGACCGACGATCCTAAGTTAGAAAAGACATCGGCCTCACTGTTTTGATCCCAAGGTACGTGTTGCAAACTCCACTCCTTGAATTAATGTAATGTTACATGCAACTTATCCAAGTACCTTTTCATTCGTTCTTCTCTAACCTGAACGTCCCATTAACTTGGCTCACCACAAGGAGGGAGTCGCACTTAGCTTCGATCACTTCCGCCCTCAAGCTTTGGGCTAGTTCAAGACCTGCAATTATGGCCTCATATTCAGTCTCGTTGTTAGTCAATTTCACAGTCCTAAAACATTGTCTAACTATATTGCCTATTGGTGGCTTCAATAGGATGCCAAGTCTGGACCCTTTTGCGTTCGAGGCGCCGTCCGTAAAGAGGGTCCAGATCCC